ACACGTGACAGGAGGAGCCGGGGATCGAACCAACAACCTTCCTTCATCAAAAAATCATCCAAATTTGCACACTTAAAAAGTTCAATTTGCTCTCTTTTAACGCAACTGTAGCTTTAAGAAGAATAATTAGCCACCACTTACACAAGGCTTTAACTCGTGGGTCAAGTGAATTTCCTACAAGGACCATTGCACGATTTAAATACTAATACAAATTGGAAAAACGACCAATATGCTGGTTTTGTCAATAGTCTGGGTAAATGGCATTGACTTGCGTGACTAAGCATGCTTGCTAAGCTGTTTTGTTATTGAACTTATCGAACAATGCTGTAAATGTGTGCGTGTAACTAACTGACACAGAGCATGGGAGGAAACAGGCACAGAAAGCAGCATCTACAATGCCCATTGTGTTGCAATATATGCACGCACATTCCTGCAGGAAAACACTGTAGCAGTAAAACTTGTGTGAGCTTATGTATCTTATGTTTGAAACTGTGTTCAAATGTTTTATCTGTTGCAATGTTGGGCAAAGTGCATAAAGTTCACCCTAAAGTAGTTCAGATATTGGAGAATATTTAAATACGGGCCAAGTTCTGGGTCATTTACACTTCTGGGTAATCAGGTCCCATCCTCAATCATTTCAGATGAACCATATGGACAAAAATACACACTCATACACAGGGACACACATGAATACACACACATGCAGAGAGAGAAAGGGATGAAAGACTGTCGGCTTGTCCCTCTCTCTTTCTCTCTTTCATGTGCTGATGAAATGAAGCCCTAATGTACAACAGGTGTGATATCTGCACACAAGCCTATTTATCCCTTTTAATCACTTTTCAGCTAAACTGAAAAGAAACTCAAATGTTGGGCTGCTTTCAAATTTATGTGGTGAATGGGCTGTCTTTGCTATTCATAAAAAATAAAAGATATAAGGAATGAAGAAAAAAAATACTCTATACGATTAAATGCACATTAAAAACAAGATTATATTACACCTTCACACCTCTGAATACTGTTTCTGAGGACATGAATGTATCTATTTGGTCCAAGATTGTCAGATTGGCACTCACTCACACAGCTTTGACAAAAATGTCCACAAATAGCAATTAGAGGACCTGACAAGAAAAGAAAAAAGATTTTGAATAGATTTCCCTGGGTAATGCTTGAAATGACCAAATTGGGACACAGTAATCTCATTCACAGCTCCCCAGCAGCCACACTCTTAATCAGGGCGGTCAAAGCCCAGTGAGAACTTTAAAGATCAGTTACAGTGCATCCTTAACAGAAATCTGCACCACCATTGTGCTACACTACAAGTAGGGGTGTAATGATTTAATTCAACTGTGATGGTTTTTGATTTATTCTGCAAAGATATAAAACTTCACATTCTGCACATGATTGAATTCAACTCAGTGTGATTTGATCCATTTCAGTGCTTCCAAAAAGATAACGGGTCTGCAAATGTGAATAGTCACAAGGAACTTGGAAGCTGTAATAAAAAAAATGATATTAACAGTGGATCAAATGATTTTATGTAATGTGTAAGGGGTCACATGTAGTGACAAGCTGACAGAAAATGATCACCAAACTCTGCAGTTTCCTTCAGCTCAATGGAGCGTTTAACATCTGTCAGCTAATTGTTTTGATTTTCTGCCCCGTACATTTTTAGTTCACTTTCACAGCATTGTTTTCAGTCATAGCGGGCAGCTGTTTTTATCATAAAAGCTCATCTACCCAACACCAAACAACAGACAAACTAAGCAACTAACTGGTGAACAGAGTGGAACATTTAGCAGCTAAAGACCCATTTTCCTCGGGAATTGGTAGAGACCAAAAACAGAGCTTAAAGGAGAGTAAATGTTTTGTAAAACCAACTCTATATCTCATCCATATCTGCTGAATGTGTAAATAAGCAACTGCTATTGCTAACATGTTAGCCATATCAACTTAAAAGTGTCATGACCTTTGACACAATATAGGTGGACCCAAATGCGCGACTCTGGCACAGACGAAGATGTAGAAAAAAAAAAAAGATATTTATTTATCAACAAAAGGCACTCTCAAGGAGGATATCAAAATGCAAACAAAACTCAAACTTCAATTGAAACAAGAAACTGAACACTGAACTGGAACACTTGACAAGGACTATTTATACTCGGTGTAAGTGAAAGCAGGTGAAAACAATCAGGGGCGGGGCAGACGATTACAATCACAATTCAGGGTTTGAATATTGAGGGAAAAGGTGAGTACAAAATAAAACAGGAAGGACTAAACATGAA